ATACAAAAGTAATTGAGGTTGGTGGGCTCAAAACAGGAGCAGCAGAAGCAGAAAGGCAGCAGCAGGAGGAACGGGCACCTCCTGACACACCCCATCTCTTCAGCCTGAGAGGAGATGTCCCTCTGCTAGGGGACAGCCAGCAGGTCACACCCTGTCTCTGCAAACAGCCCCGCTCATCCCCGTAGGACTCGCCCGGCCGGGCAGCACGGGCAGCGGGGAGGTGCCGCGTGCCCAAGGCAAGTGCCACCTCCCTCGGCCCCACGCTCCGGTGTGGCGGCTGGACAGGGAAATCTCTGCCTGTGGACAAGGTCCAGCTTACATCAGGAGCCCACCGCTACCACCTCGAAGCAGCTCTGAGAAACCTCTGAGAAGGTGGCCAAAACACACGTGGGTGCTCTGGCACGGTGTGCGAGGGCAGCGGGCGGCCAGCCTTGCAACACCAAACCTCTGCCCAGGCACCGCAGGCAGCCGAGCCCATTAAGGCTTCCTGAGGAGCTAGCAACTGTATGTTAACTGCGCATGCAGGCAGGGGCACTCTCCTCTCGATCACAGACCACTGCCAAGGCAAATACTAGACACGACTTGTGTTAACTGAGTGCTGGTAGGAAAAAAAAAAAAAACATGTCTTTATGAGAAGTAACTTTGCAACTAAGCACTGGTCTGAGTAAGCGACGTGTATAGTAGATGCATCCTCCCCCACTTTCAGGGCTGCCTTTTAAAAACAGATGGAGACCTTTGCCAGGATCCCCAGATGAGCTGCACTCATTTCCCAACTTCTCTAGAAAAAAAGCTGTGGTGCTTGGTTACCTCTGAAGAAATAAGAGAGCAGAGAGTTTTAGCATCATCGGCACCACAGGAGATGCAATGTGGGTGATCATACCCCTCCTGCTTCAGCGTCCCCGCTCCAGTAACATCCTGTACCAGACACCCTTAGTACCAGATCCTCTCACAGAACTAGACAGCAAAATCACAAGGCAAAAGCCGCCTCCCTGACCTTGGTTTTGTCTGCACAGTTAATCACAGCCACACTTGGATGAAAACATATCTGCTCCTGGCTGTTCCTAAGCAACTGTGCCAACTGCTTAGGGCTCAGTTTGTCAAACTGGTCCTTGAAAAGCTTAAGAGGATCTCCATCAGGAAAAGGCAGAGGGTGGAGAGTCCTTGCCCAGCTCGGGGAAGGACTGACTCCGCATCAACCTGTCCCACCATGGACACAAATAGGTGCCCCATTCAGAGCTGGCAGCTGCAGAGAAAGGCCAGGCACAACCCCACCAGGGAGCTTTCGAGATGGAAAGAGCCAAAATTTTCTTTCAAATTACTCACAAATTTCAGGGTGAGAATTTCAGGGAAGCAATGAGCAGCTTGGGCTTGCTTTTTAAAAGAAAGTTGCTGCATCGGTTAACCCAGCCCCTCTTCTGCTACAGAGACACATGCATTTCTTCCTCACCTCCTTCCTTCCCGAGAGAGCCCCAAAACATCTGCTATAAAAATCAAGGAGGAAAAGCGAAAAGTGTGAAGCAGGGAAATTTCCATACACAAACCCACTTCACTCTTTTCATGGTCTGTCCTGCAATAGGCACCAATACCACACTGGAGAAGCTGCCAAGAAAGGTGGAGCAGCAGGCAGCACAAAGCCAGCAGCCACAACATGGAGTGGGATGTGTCCCAGCCCGCCCTGCAGAGCTGCCCCAGCACCCTGCCTGGCTGCACCCCCCGCAGCGCATCTCACGGGATTCGGGAGCACAGCACAGCACCCGGCCAGCAGACAGCCTTATGGTAGATTACATTCATTTATTCCTTACGTCAGCTCATGATCTGTTTCTCCTCCCAAGAATTCTCTCTCCCAACTGGGTTTTGACCACATCTTCAGTTTTGACCCTGCTACTTGTGCTTTGCTGCCTCCTCCACACAACAGACACCTGCCCTGCACAGTCTCCACTCCCCACAGGAACATCTTCTCCCATCTTCTGTAGAACCATAAGGCAAGCAAGTGTCCTTACTGAACTCCACCAGGTGCCAGGGCTGGCTACAGCCTCACCCTTTTCTTTCTGATGAGAAACCTTCTTTGAAATACACCTGGAAACACAACAGTGAAGTCTGTCATCTTAACTTGGGTATTTGACAGTGACTTCTTGTCAATACTGTGTGATCCTGGTTTGCACGTGGCAGGGCTGAAGGTGCTCTGTCCTGTTAAAAAGCAGCTGTGTTTCTTCTTGAGCCCTAAAAACAAGAGTTACTTGAGAAATATCTGCTCCCATCCCCTCCCGACCTCTTGGGGCTGGTGCTGGCTTTCCACGGCACTGGGGTGCAGCTCAATGGTCCCAGAGGACACCTGCATCCAGACACAGCACTCCAGGTTCTTGGAGGCAGTCAAGGCAACCATGCTCCTGCTAACACAGCCTTCACCTCCTGAGAGCACAGCAGCAGTGGAGCATAACCCAAACCACACCAGCTGCAAGCAGGGAAGACTTTTTGCCTAGAAAGACAGCTGAGAGGGTCAGGGGAGCCAGAGCAGTCTGCAAACGGTGTGCTGTGAATGCACCTGATGAAGGTTAAAAATTTCTTCCCATGTTCTCTCTCTTCAACATAAAGTAAGAGCCAAAGATGCAAATACTTAATTTTGACCATCAATCCTGACCCAGAAAATTGTGTATCTCATCTACTCTCCCTGCGTTTGGAACACACATCACATCAACCTCAGGGTTTGTTTCCCTTGGGACGCCTGTTCCTTTAATTCTTCCATACTGCACTCACATAAACAAACATGACCAAAAAAAGTCACTGCAATAAACAACTATTTTCTCCAGAACACCCTTGCGCACACTGGTTAAGCCAATGACAACGTGTGGTACAAGGGCAAGTGGTACTGGCTGCAACACCCAACAACTGCTCTCTGTGGAGAGAAAGCAAAGAGCACAGCAGTGCAGGTTCAGCTGATCCTGCCTTCACCCCACAAAGCAGCGTCTCACATCTGGATGTTGATCCCAAATTTTCTTCCATTAGCAACTAACTGTCACACAAGCTTTGTTCTAGATAGAGCAGCATGAACAGGCCACACAAGGACTCAAGACACACCAAGCCACTTGGCTCTTTTATGTGAGAATAGAAAACAACATTTAAGTTCTGGTACAGAAAGGCAACTGAGATCAGCATCTCCCACCAGTACAGTCTGTTCCAGGCAGATAAGAAACAAGCACTAGGACAAACCCCAAAGCCGAACCAGTCTGAGCAGAAGTAGGGAAGAAACCTCAGAGGGAAATTCAAAGAGAAATAGGAACCAAAAATTTACAGCCTCTGACCTTCTTGCTCACCAAGGACAAGAGTTTCTCAGGTTGCTGGAGATTCACTAGGTGTTAAAAAAAACAAACACAAAACGAACACATAAGAGAAAATCTCAAACCTGGGTGTCAACCCCAAGGACATGGCTTTCTTGAACTTCTGTCTTCTTCAACCACCAACTGAACCAAGGTCTTTCCTCATTGCCCACATTTTATTTACTGTTTCATATGATTGCTCAGTTTAGGAAGCCCTTTGCTTTGCATAGCAAAACAGCTACATTACCTGCACCAGACTCATTGCCAAGATCCAAGTGTCCTCTGGAGTATATTAACAGAAGTCAGCAAAATCTGACAACACCACAGATATTTATTTTTCCATAATTACTCCTCTCAATTATAATATTCATTCCATTAATAAGGCCAGGGTCAGCATCATCTCCTAATATATTATTAAATCAGTTTTGTTGAGAAGGAATCATATTATTAATTATTTAGCCTGGTGGAGCAACTGTTCCACCACAGGTGTGTGCCAGCAGTTCAGCGGTAGGAGGATGTTTAGCTTCTCAAAGCACCATCTGCATTAATAACATTCATTCTCAGTAGCGTATTTACAATAAAAAACTGATATTGCTCTCTTCATTTATTTTACAAAAAAATTTCACAAACAACAAAGATTAATTCTGCAGATCCCTTTCCTACCATCTGTCTGCAGCAAAATGATTCAGATTCCCTGAAGTCACCTACTACCAGCTCCACCGCTCCCTGCCTGGATGTCCCAGCTGCCCCCAGGTCCACACTTGTGCAGTATTTAGCTGAACCAAAGCAAGGCAGCCTCTTGCTCGTTTGCCTCCCCATCTCCAAGATTTACATCCCATGGCTTACGTACCAGCAGCAGGGGTACAACAAAAGTTCTGTCAAAGCAATTTCTTCACCAAGAAAAAGGCGTACAAAACTTTCCTGATCTTTTGCTAGGGAGTCTTGCCTTTTGTCAGAACTAGTCAAATGCATTTTTTTTAAAAGGCTTCTCATTCCAAGTCAAAAAACCTGTGCACACTGGAGCCTGTTCTGAGTCTCTGGGTACTTCCACATCAACACCAGAAGCAATTTCCTCACTGCTGGTGAAGCCGCTGTGTGAACAGAGAGGAACTCCTCTGCTCTGCATGATGTTGCTTCCACTAAGGGATAGTGGGACCAGGGAAAGTCAGCACCTGTGACCAACATTAAATTAAGGCTTGGGATTCACCTTACTCCCCGAGTTCTCTCATTTCCCTTTTATTCAGGATTTTCTAGGACTGCTCCCCACCTGTATGAATGGCATCTTTGCCTGCAGTCCCACCGTTACAGAAGAAGAAAACCCAAACCCCAGCTTGCAGACCTAAGAGAAACCCCAGCTCTGTCACTGTCCCTCTTTTGCCTACTGCCCAGCCCTTCCACACATCCCACTTGTGCTCCTTTCTCCCTGGAGCTTGCTTGGCCTTCCCAGACACAGAACCAAGATAACCAAGATGCTTCAGTGGCCAATGGCAGTCATCACAAAGACATTCAGCTCAACCATGATTACTGTATTGGCAGCAGGCTCCTTTAATCCCCAGCAGATGGTCCACCTCACTGGTCTCACAACCTCCTGTAACTCCACGTGCACTTAAAAAGATTAAAAAAGTTACACAAAAGGTTTTGTTGCAGTTTGGGGTTGTTTGTTGTTTTTGTTGTGTGTTTTTGCTTGGGTTTTTTTTGTAAAGGCTTCATTCTTTGCTGCCCATCAGCACTGTCTCAGCATATTGCACAATGTTTTCTTTATTATTAAAAAAATGTCTTCTGTATCAGGCAGGAAGAAAGACAGTTTTCGTGGGATTCTAATGCGTACTATTGTCTGTAGTTAGAGGTAAGTGGTTGCTTGTGTGGCCATCAGGAAGTGGGACCTAGTCAAGCAAAAGCAAAGTGTTACTAATGGTTTGTTCAGAAACAGAATCACCCATCCCTCCCTCAAAAGACACACTCTACTCTTGGGCACTTCTTGTATGCCTTCTGCGTGGTCTCCCAAACAAAGGCTATAAAAATCTGCCTGCTTCCCTCCCCTCCCCCACTCACAGCTGGCAAACTTCAATCAAACGTGAGAGAAAGGCAGAAATCTTAAAGGCAACCTACAGGTTTAAATGGGAAAAATAAAAGTACAATAAAATCAACGAATTGCTAGAGGAGTAATCCTATAGATGTCCAGTGAAGGGAAGGAAATGTAATGACTTCTCAGCTCCTTCATACTGCTTGGCAGTGGGCTGCAGGCTCAGCAGCAGCAGCACTGAACCCCTGCAGCACTCAGTGCCTTATTCCATCAGCAGGCCAAGCAGAAGAAGAATATGTGAGGGAGACTAATGAGGCCTGGGAAAATGTGTTATTTTTCTAGCAATATGAGTATAAAAAGAATACTGTAAGGATGATGGAGGGAATGTAGCAGAGAAACCTCTAAGAGACTCTGCTTTTAAATTCAGCTTAGAAAACACCTTGCTTCCTTGCACATTAGGCTGTCCAACTATTTTTAAAAGCTGTTGAATCTCTGCTCATATGTATGTCAAGGGGAGACTTTACTGCAAGCATCTTAAATTCAGCTGGGGCCAAGTCCCAAAGTTGTCCTCATCATCCATCCTCACCACTTATTTAATACTTAGAGAAAGTTTTTCTTACTGTTGTGGATCTGGAAGAGCCCAGTCTGAAACGGCAAAAAATAATTTCTGCTACAAATCTTCCAAAGCCATGTAAAATTCCTGCAATTTCCAACATGATTTAAATTGTTACAAGCAGCAAAACTGCAGTATTTACAGAGTATTACAACAAAACCTCACACAATATTTAAATGGGTCACAGTGCAGTAAACCACTACATAGAACACTGAGAAATTAACATAAAAAAGAAAACATCAAGGGCAAGGGGAATTCTAATACTCTGAAATGCATCGACAAAAGCTAAACCAAAGCTATCCAAGCAAATGTATTCCCTCTGCTTGGCTTTCATGGGTGAAAATATATTCTGTGGGACAGAAGTATCTACTTTGAAAGAGAGCTCTTACTTCAAAGTTTCTTTACTATGCTTTCTTCAAGAGAAAGACAAGAAAGAAGTAAGTTGTAATAAAGACACCCTATTATGTCTTGACTAATCAGTGAATCAAGTCCCTTTAGCTTAGCTTGTTTTCTTTGTAGGAGCAAAACTTGCAATACATTGACAAGTGACACAAGGAAAATCCCAATTCCTTCAGACAGAAATTTTATCTCAACTTTTGGCACTGATTGAGCACTGGATCCCAACTACAGTAAACACACAGAATGTCAGAAGTCTGTGTGTGTGTGTATCTGTATTAATTTACATTAACAGATTAATACTTTTCCAGCAGTAAATAAACTATGCTATAGTTACCGAAAAGGAAACAACAGGCCTTCAGAACAGCAGAAGCTGGGACATCAAAAATTAGTAGCTTTCATTGCACTTTTCAGTGCACACAGATGGGCAACTTAGACTTGCTAGAGGTTCAGGACTTCCCTCTAGTTTATCAATAACATAATCAGCACGACCAAAGAAAAATTCTGGTAGAACTTAAGAGGGAAAGCACCAATAGTTACCTGTAGTTGAAAAAATTCCCCCAATAATGCCACAGAGCCTCACTAAGAACTGCCAAAAAGGCATGTGTTCTTCTGTCACTGTCACCATAAGTGAACTGATATCATACTTCATGAATATTCCTGACACCCCATGGCTGCCAGCCGCATGGTTAATTACTCTTTCCTGAAAGAGGAGAGACACACAGGTTAGTCACTTCTTTTTCGTCACACAGAAACCAGTCTTAGTAGATGCGATGACAAAGAGCTTCTTAATCAGAGTTACCCATCAACAGAAGACCAGGGAACATCAAGAAAACTTTGGTCAGTACCTTCTGAAAATCAAGCAATATTAAATAACAACTGACATTCCTGGTCACTGGTCTTCTGTGCTGCACATCGGTGTTCAAGGTCAGGCTCTGCTACTATCATCCTCTCAGGATCTGCTTACATGGTCCTTTAAACAAGGGTGTTTATAACTAGGATGCTTTTGATACCTATGAGGATAAGTGCCACAGTCTTGGTCCAGCCTGTGAGCTCCAGTGAGCACACTGGTATAATACAGTGCCCCAGCTCTTCCCACTTTATGCACTACCATTAATCACTTAACTCAGGATGAGACCTTTGGGAGACACTGAAGTTGCTGAACAGCCTTAGCTACAGCTGTTTTCCCAGAGGGGGTATGTACATCGACATACTGCATCTAAGACTCAGCAAGTCTCAGGGCAGACCCTGAACTGGAGTGTGCCGTAACGGAAATTCAGAAGCTTAAGTTAACTTAGACCAATGCCATTTTTTTTTCCCCTCAGTGAATACTTACATATATGCCATAATCCATTATTTTGATGGGGGGGGGGAAGTAAAAAGGTCAATGCTTCTGGGGTCTGAAAACTGAACCAGTATTAAGCCTCTTCAAAATTTCCGTCAGCTAGGTCATTCCAGACAACAGTCACACAGCAAGAAATACACCTCAGTAAAAATAACTAACGCACCACGATTACTCTAAACAGATCAGATGCTTCACTCCTAATCCAAGAACTTCCACAGTTGCTTCTAATTTCTCCAAATTCTTATACCAAAAGACCCCAAAGAGGATAGTGGCTCCTATAAATCTCTGCGGTTTTACGGTTTTAAAAAGGTTTCAGAAAAAAAAAAAAAAAACAAGCCAAAACACAACTCAACACAATCTTAAGTTTCTTTCAAAAGTTTCCTATCATTTTGTTGTTAGTGAAAGGTGTTGATAAATGCTCTGTCAAGTAAATCCGGCTGAAAATATACAAGGGCAGCAGAAAAGAACATAACTGACTGAAGACAAACTCAGCCATGTCTATGCTAGTAAGAGCAAAGAAAACAGACAAGCAAGACTGAACAAAAAAGCAATATATCACAGCTCCATTTCATCTGCAGCTTTAACAGTCTGTGCTCAAAAACCATGCAGAACACAGTACAAAATAAAAAGCAGAATAACATTTTGGAAAATAACAGACTAGGCAACTTTTCCTTCAGCTAATGTTGACATAAATCACACTGATTCTATTGCCACCAAATCAAAGTAAAAAGGATGTCAAAAAAATGCATCAGTTGTGATTCCAGGTCACAGAAACTTTGCAATGGTCAAAAAATCAAACAAATAAGAAAACTTCAAACCAGAGTGCTTTCTGTATTTCAAGAGCATGACAATATTCAGCAGTAGAGGATGGGCTATCAGGCATACTAAGAAGGAAGAGAAGACTGAAGGTAGTCAAACAGAACCTTGGCATTGGCAAGGGACAAAATTTTTTTGGTTTTCCACTGTTGTTCCCTTAGGCCCTATTGGTCTTTTGAGGTCAGTGGTGAAAAAAGAATACAAAGTCAAAGAGAACACCTAAAACCCCACCCTTAAAAGATACATAATTCTTCTTCTGCAAACCATTTTGGTTTGAGTCCAGCTTCTCCTGCTGCAGAAGTATAACTAGCAGAAAACAAATACATAAATAATAAATATAACCTGTAGAAAACAACTAGCTCTGCATCAGGTATCTCAGATATCAGTGAAGTCTTGCTAGAATTAATCTTTTTAACATTAACACAGTTACTCAAAAACCAATAACAGTGGAGATGATTCTGCCCACACCTTTCAAACCCTGCTTCCCAGTCTGTTCATCACGGACAATTAAACCTCGTTGGATTCGAGACTTAGCCATGGTTAGCTGACCACCCTTCTCCAGGTTTGCATGTGTGCCAACTCTTCTGAAATAAATGGACTAAGTAGTCCAGTGTTAACTTCTCTTAATAGCCTTTCCCAGCTCATCTGCTAGGGGTATTTGGTTTCCAGAGCTCCACAGGCAACAGGACTACCTGCTGAGACAGCGAGAGCAGGCAAGTACATAATGTCATTGTAACTCCACTACTCACAAGCTTTCCTCCTAAGCAACCTGTGACTGTTGCAACTTCAATGAAAAAAAATATTTCCCCACAAAAAAATTAACGAGCTAAGACCATACAGTTAATATTGTGCCATCTTTACAGCAGGAGAGAAAAATTTAATAAAAGATGAAAATAAACCACAGTAAGGAGTAAGATAAGCAGTTGACTGATGTCCAGAAATTTAAGGAATGCCTTAGTTGTTGGAGAGATTGTGCAGAGGAAACAAAGCAGATTGCTAGCCTAGCAGGAAATGGGAGTATATTGCATTATGAAATTCCTCTTCATTCCTCTTTCTACTCCAGCTTTCATGAATTTTAGAGTGAACCTTTCCCTTCAGCAAGCTGCATGTCCCAAGTTGAACCCCAAGACATCACCCCTATCCTACTTCCCCCAGCTATGTATTTTTCAGAAGCACAGTATAGAATTGTGAGGAAATAAAAAAGATTTTTGTCCCTTGGAAAACATCACAAACTGTACTACAGTGAACTGTCACCCTAATCTCTGAATTTCCTTTCAACCTCAAGACTTCCTCCCACTTTATCTCTCATTTTTAATTAAGCTTTTCGCAAAGGTTTTTCTTCTTTGGCTTTTGAATAAAAGATCAAAACCGAGTTCAAATGTCTGCAAATGAGACATGTAACTAGTACACATAAGGTCTTCTTATTTACAGCAGTCATTAAAATCAGCACCCTGTGATTTGCCCATGTGCTATGCTGCAGTAACTACTTTCTTTACGGATTCAGAAGCAAAAGCCTCTTGGAGCCCCAAAATGGAAGCTCTCTAGTCTGGATAATAATTGAAGTTGGTGGTTCAACAAAGATTGAACATGACAGCTGAGAGACAGATGCTTTTTGTGGCATTAGGTTTTCATACAAACTACCTTTGTTTCCATTGCTAACACTCCACAACCAAGTTCATGACATTCCAGTGATCTGCATTTTCTTGTTTGCTTCCCACATGGATAAAAAGCTAAAAGTGGATTAAATATTTTTAAAGCTACACACAAGATTACAGATCTAAGACCTCCAGGCTTTCACCACCACCGTTAGCGCCAGTGGAGTTCCCAAAACCATGGCACAGCTAAGTCTCTGTTTTCACACTTGAGCTTTTAGGAACAACCATTGTTAAGATTTTTCTTTGCATGGTTTTCTCTTACTTCTACTTACCCTTTCTGTCACTGAAAATTGATGAGTTTCTGCTGAAATTTTATACGTATGGAGTTTGGTTGGCACAACTGTGATAAAATATTGGAACATTTGGTTGTCTAGAAGAGAACAAATCTCACTGTTGAATTAAGCACAGTCAAAGACCATCTAAGACATTAACAAATAAATCGAACAAATACTACTTAAAATAGTTACTTGGATAATCCGTTTACACTAGGGACATTTTTCAAGGACTCACAGCACTGCCAAGACTACTTCAGCACCATCTCCATGAACAGTTAGTTTCCATGGGCAAGTCCTACATCACATTTGTACTTGGAGAAATTTACAAGTAATGAAAAGATCCATTAAGATCAGACCACTCAAAGCTATAATGAAATGCACAGATAGTGGTTTCCAGGGCACTAGAACTGAAAAAGTTTCACACAGTCACATTTTGCAGGACACATCTCAACACTGGTTTGAACAGACATGAGCCACTGAATTGCCTATACAATGCTGGAAGCCCTTCTAAACTCATTATGATTTTTCTCTTGATTAGACAGACTTATGAAGAATTCTTCTAGGACAATCAGCACACATGCATTTACTATTGCTCTGTCTTTGTGCAATTCCCTAAAAGAACAAACACTGACAGACTGAAGCAATTTGTTTCAGCTATATAGAGCTATTCTGGCGGGAACAGCCAATGGCCTGACTTTGAGCCAGCAGCAGCTTTAGAAGGTTCTGGGGATCACTCTCAGAGGATGAGCCATAGTTCAATAAGGTAGGTTACCATACCCCTTTACTTATAGATAAGGGAAAATGATACACAAACCCTTCCTGTAGTAGCCTCACAAAATACACCATGGAAGTGACAAACCAAATACAGGAATAGCATCCAAGACTCCTGATGCTGATTTTTTAAAACCAAATCAGACTTATTTTTCCCTGTTATGCCAACACATCTATGAAACTCCACTGTAGCATTGCTGCAAAGTCCTTTACATGTTCAGACATACTGTAACTTCAACGTAACGCAAAACTGGAGGAAACTCAGCAAAACTGGAGAAAACCAGCTTCAGCAAAGCAGCAAAATACAGCAATACTGATATTAAAAATAAATGTCTATTTAAGACATCATGTACGTAATTGAACAGTGCACTTCTCGCTACCCATTTTAGTAGGATATGCCATTTATCATTAATTTTACATTTTAAATGTAATTATTAGAAAAATACGGAAAATACGATGCTTTTTTCAACACACAACACTTACGGTCTGATGCTATTTTTTCTGTTCCATCCAAAGGATTAATAATTCCTGGAATAAGCTCTCCAAATGACAAATGATCTATTCTATGAGAGAAATTATAGGCTGAAAGACAATACAAAGAAATGAACATTTTAAAACTGTGAGATTCTGTACTCTTCTCTGAGAAAATGAGGCACCCACTTCTCCACGCTGGAAAGCACATCTGTCACAGGGTGCACTTAACTGCATGTACACTGTGACTGCATTGATACATCTACGTACATGTTTCAAACAAACTCAAGTCCAATGTGTTTATCAAAGAAATTCAGTTTCTCTAGAAAGGAGCTTCTAAAACAATTTATAAGTCTGTCTGAATCAACCCTGGAGCTAAAGAGAGTCAAAACTTCATGACAGGAAATTTCTAGCTGGCCAAATACTGATGTTACTCTACGGTTCAGGTTCTCGTATGTAATGGTATTAAAGATTACAGTTTCATAAATGAAACATACAGAGGAAGCATAAGGCAACTACCAACTTACCACATTGACTGATTTTGTACAGGTATTTAAGCTGTATAGTATTATATGCTTGTGTTGACATAAATTCGTGGGCAGACATTTGGAGGTTGAACCTACATCAAGTTCATTTTTCAGAGTAAGTCACCCTTGCCTCACATTAAGGACGGCAGCAATACACATTTAGTATCTAGAATTATAACCTAAAAAATGAAGTTTCTAAGGACAAAGGTCAGAAAATAAGGAAATAAGTAGTTTGGACTGAAATACAAGAATTTTGTATGGTATCTGCATTACAACAAAATACATCTGAGATTCCTGTGTTATCATTACTGTACAAGCAACCTAAAGATAATACACTAGTAGTGCTAAATGTACGAAACTGAGTCTCCGCTGAGTTGTAACATTGCAGAGTATCTGTCACTTCTCTTCTACAATGTAATTGCCCAGCTAGAACACCTTTGGAACAGGAACCTACATATGAACTAGGAGACAGCAGTCTGAATGAAATAATACTGATTTGTATAGAGATCATAGAAAGAACTTACACTCGTGGCTTACAAGGGCTGCCAAGTGTGCATGGCCTCGAGGGTGTGGTATTGCCCTAAAAAAAGCAAGATATGTTTTATGAAAAATCTATTTAACGAATCCACACAAAAGACAGTTTTTGTGAACAGGACTATACAGAAAAATTACCTCTCCCCCTTTATTTCTATAAATAATTTATATAAATATGTATATTAAAGATATATGCATAGATGTAACATACATATGTTTTATAAATATATGTTTTTATAAATTGTGTGCATCTGTGTAAAAAGCAAATAAATACATTTTTCTTAGTGCAGAGTACAGACAGCCTGAATGACAAAGTACAGACACATCAGACTCATGAAAACCCTCTTACACAAAGTCAGTGTCTTGCATTTTTAGAAATGTGAAAACCACATTAAGACACTGGTCTACTAGAAGAGCCACCAAGGCCAACCACAAGGAAAGCTGCAGAACTGCTCAAGTGAGTAACGAAAACTTCACTGTGCTTGTTCTTAACTATGCTCTGCATTTGCCCCTTGACTAAGCAGGTTAACCTCAGGTCTGAACACTTGCTTGTAGACCTGCAAAGTACAATGCAGAGGGTGGTAACAGTGTGAAGAGCCGAAAAAAAAGGTGCAACTCTGTCTGCGAAGTAGCAGTCTCTCAGCCACGCTTCATCCTTATGGGTTC